GAACTCTTGTGAATTGGCGCTTTGAATTTCCTTCATTTCACAGATGTGGAACTTCCAAGGAAACGTCTTCCTGAAGAGACTCACAGATGCCTTTTTACTGCACCGTCTCCCATTCAGACTGGAGCACAGTGTCCTGGAATGCCTCTCATAACAGCTTCAGCTGGGTCAAGCACTAATTGATGACCATTTCCAGGTAAAATAAAGTGGCTTGCAAAAATATTTAACCCCTCATAAAGTAACAAGACTGGCCTGAATTGAAAATGATGCAAATACCTGGTCTTATGTCAGTATCTCCGCTGGAAACTCATAGCCCATGACAGTAAATTTTCAAAGTCAAGACCAATTGTTACCAAATCCTCTGAAGATTTTTTTCAATCAGATCTGTATTGTTTCAGCCTTGTGCTTCATTGTCCTGCTGAAGGTTTAACACCTTCCCTAGCTTTAGATTTTAACAGACTGAAGCAGGTTTTCTTGTAATAATTCCTGAAGATGAAAAGCATCCAGATATGAAATATCTGTGACTACCACTAACCTGCTAATGGAATTGTGGGCATACATGTGGAGAGGCCGGCGTCTGTTATCTAAAGCCCTGCAATGACATAGTTTGTCGTTGTCAAAACAAAATTAATTTAAATGAAATGGTCAATTGTAATGGCCTTTCTGTAAATAGCCTAGACACACTAAGTAACTAGACACACACAACAAAATTATAAAATGTCCTGTATGCATTTCTGATGCCTGGATGCTAAAAGGAGATACTTCCTTTATTTGCACAGGAAGTCTGCAGATACAGGATCTGTCCTGCTGCCAGAGACAAAAGAAATAATCATCTGAAAAGGAAAAAAAAAAAACATTTTTTTCAGTTTTTTATGAGTATATTGAACATTCAGAAGACATAGTCTTCACAGAGTCTCGTGACGTTTGTTCAATTCCATAAAAATGTTGCAAATTTATTGGTTTCATAATAAAAGTCCATTGACAAGCAATGTTTAACATATCCTCTGCCTAGACATTTTCAAGTGTAATTTTTTTGACTGGTTCATTCAGTTCTGTTCGTGCCATTTTGCGGTTAATTGAAATTGTAGTCATTGGCTTGCAAAGGGATACTAAACACAAACGTTTGTGTTTTGTGTTATATAGTACAACTTGAAATGAAAGTTTTACTTAAATTGATTGATGTGTATACATATATTGATTGATGTGTATGCATGCATGCATGCATGCATGTATGTGTGTATATGTATTTATGTATGTATGTGTGCATGTGCTTTCACATAATAAAGAGAGATGCAAAGAATTATTCTACCAAATCACCAGAATTTATTGTGTGCAAAATATAGTTTACACACGAGGTACCGGTGACATGGGCCTGGATACTTATTCTACATGTCTTGTCATTTCCAGAAGACAAAACGAAACAAGTAAATGAGGGCTATAAAGGGCAAAGTTATCTGTGAAAATTCCAGCACAGACTATATATATATAAATACAATTACCAGCTATATTTTAATCATTTTTTAAAAGACAGTTACAGTACAAATCTAAAATAATGCTTTAAAATGATCATACACCTAATAGTCACACCAAATCCAGACATTTAGTGTTTCATAACCTTTGTGTTTGTGCCCCACCTAACATTCCACTTTACTGTATTAATAACCTTCGGGTCTCTGATACATTTCTCAGGATTTTTATAAGCTAAAAAAAAAAAAAAAAGTCAAAATGATCACTACACCATCTGCCTGGGGCAGCAACAGATTCTGCTAAAGATTAGTGCCTGTAAGTTCTTTTTTAATTTGTCTTCTGTCTTGCGGATTACAAGAGCAATACGATTTAGATGCCGTACATCATCAGATTTAAATTCCACAGATAGATATGACATAAAAATCATCCCCATATTGCTGGTCCCTGACATCAAACAGACTCAAAACGTGTAAAACCAGAAAAGCAGCTGAAAGCAATAAAAAGCATCCACTACGTTTTGCATTATTAATTATCCTGATCTCCTCCCTCGAAGCCCTGCACATTTCTCTTCTCCAACTTACACTTAACACAGTTCTTTTGTTTTCAAATCCCCTGGCAAACAGAAGACATTTCTAGTACCACATCTTTGGCAACGGACACTGCAGGTGATGCCAGCCACTCTCTACATTTTTTTAACCCATGGATGTGGTCTAACATTTTTATGTGTGACATGCTCTTTCCTTGTAGGAACCTACACACTGAGCAATGTTACTAATAACCATCACAGCTACTGCATTTATAATCATTTATAAAGAAATTAAGGCATTAAGAGTTAAGGCTGAATAAAAACGACTCTGGTGTGTACAGCACTGTATACATGGTGTACATATGTACCACTTTGACTGCATAGGTCTTCTGTTAAGACCAGGCATGAGGAACAAGGGACGTGCTGAAGGTATCTGGTACTCGTCAGTAGTTTACCGACACCATAATTTGACCAATCATTTGACTTCTTAAGTGCATGACACAAATCTGACCAATCACGTGGCTTCTTTAGTCATTTTAACTTGTTACTTCTTCATCCATCAGTATGTGTATGCTGGACTGGCACCCTGTCCATGGTGTACCCCAGTCCCAAGTTAGAAGGTGCATGAATGGATGTGTCTGTATCGAAGCGAGATGCTGAATTACAAAGTGAATCATGTTTCGTGGTGCTGATCACTGGCATAGAGTCAAACATTAGGAGCCTTCCTGGTCGCCGTCAGAACAGCCTGGCATGAAACATTTATAAAAAGTGTGGTCAAAATATCAAAATTACCAAAAATAAAGACCATATACCAACAACAAACCACAGTTTACCAGCAACTGCAGCGCAAGAAAAACTATTAAATCGGAAATCTTTTTTTCTAAATAAAAATATATTTACTGCATATTTAATATGTAAATGCATAAGTACGTATCTGTGGGCAAGAGGCATGTGTAGCAGTCAGAGAGGAATCCTCACACACAGGACGATGCCCGTACTGATACAGTTACTGCAGCACATCCTGGGCTCCAGCATGATCTCAGCCGTCACTGCGATGAAACTGAACAAAAAGAGATCCGTCATCTTCGATGTTCCTGCGTCATCATGTGAGCAGTCGTATAAGTCAGGGAGATGTACGGAGTGAAGAGAAGGTTATGGCATGGGAGCTACAGCGCCCCCTGTATGTCGGCCTTGTTAAAGCTGAGAGTTCTCTGCCAGGGACAGGAACTGTAAGGTACTGTCCACCCCCCAGCTGTGTCACTCTGATGTGAAATTCGGAGGTCGGAGTCGTTTTGTCTTTCACCCGACAAGACGGGAGGCTTCCACTGTCATAGAAAGCGGGTAGCTGCTTGGGTTAGACGGCTCCAGTCCTACGTGAAGGGGCAGCCATGATGTGAGCCTGGAACAGCCATGATGTGAGCTTGGAACAGCCATGATGTGAGCCTGGAACAGCCATGATGTGAGCCTGGAACAGCCATGATGTGAGCCTGGAACAGCCATGATGTGAGCCTGGAACAGCCTCCCTGAGTTCAATCGGAGAGACAGTTGCCGTTCTGCTGGTCGGTGGGTCCACACAAGTTGAGGTTAGGCACCTTCCTGTACACAAAGTGGAACGGCTGGGGCTGAGGGCGGCTGTGGATCTCCGCCTTGATGCGCTGGGGGTAGGTGTCTGGGGCTAGCTGCTGGCTGGTCTCCCCGATGAGCAGGAACAGGGCGTAGCTCTCCGGGTCCTGCACGCTGAACTTCTGGGAGCACAGCACACACACCTCATCGGTGGTGGAGTAGGGGTGCACCAGCAGGGTCTTGGCCGTGCAGCCGCTGTCCGCCTCCTGCAGGGCCACGCGAAGGTAGTTCTGCACAAACACACAAGAAGGAGGCGGAGTGAGGGTCCTGATTACAGGGCAAGCTGTGGGAGAGAACATGACCGATATCCCGAACCAAGCCAACTAGACACCCAGTGTGTGGGGAAATGTACAGTGTGCTCCATAAGTATTTGGCCGGTGACTCAGACTTTATTATTTTAGTTCTGCACCCCATTACAATGGATTTCAATGAAACAGTCAATGCCTGTTTTTAAAGTGTAGACTGTCAGCCTTAATCTTTTCAGCAAGCGAAATACATGCTCCAGTGTGTTGTAGAGCATGCTGATCGTCATGTTGAGCATGTTGAAGTCCACTGTGATAGAGCACACAACCAAAATAATACAAAAATGTGTCACCATCTAAATCATGGGTGTCAGACTCCAGTCCTGGGGGGCCGGAGCCCTGCACAGTTTTTGGTTCACCCTCATTTAACACACCTGATTCAACTCCTTGTGCTAATTACCACAAAGCTCATAAGCTAAATCATTTGTGGTGGAACAGGGAAAGAGCTAAGCTACACAGGGCTCCGGCCCCCCAGGACTGGAGTTTGACACCCCTGATCTAAATACTTATGGACAGCGTTGCGTACTCTGTGACTGTGACTTTATACTCAACTGGTTGGTTGAAACAAAACCTTGGTCTGGATTTGTACTTTCTGGACCTGAACTCTCTGTAATGGATAACTTTTGTGAGTATCTTCTCCAACACTGCTTATGGACAACACTATTTATGCTGTTTTGGATGACAGTGTCAGTCAGAATATTAAACTGTAATTATAATAATAGAACAGATCAGAGTGGTCTCTGCCTTGAGCTTCCTAGGACAGACGGGCGTTGCGGTCGGTACCTGGAAGTCATCCACCGAGGGCACGGTGCGCTGGGCGGTCCGGCGGCGGTGCCACTGGTGCAGCGTGTTGCGTGCCTCTGAGCTCAGCACCCTGGCGGCTTGTTCCTCCTGGAAGTTCTTGATGAGGGACATGGCTCCGTAGGCACTGGTCAGGTAGTAGCCGCCTGATGCAGGGACCAGAGCAGAGAGGTGATGCAGGGTCGGGCTGCAGGCGCGTGTGGAAATACGGACTTTACGGCTCCCATGTGCTACACCGGGGTCGCTGAAGGCGAGGCAGAGTTCAGAGGAAAAGCCCTCCTCTAGGAAGCCCCACGGCACAATGAGCTGCAGGAAGCCCGATTCTGCTCAGACAATGAATGCCCAGGTCCCCCTGGACGGAAGCTCCTCTGATAGTATTTTAATTAACTATACTGCGCTATGGAAAGTGCAGGACATTTCCTCAGAATGTTTATGTAACTGTGCTGGCCTGGAATAAAATGGCCGCCAAGTGACTGAAAGGAGAAAAACAAGGTCTTGTAAAGAGGTTCGGTATGCACAGCTATGACGGGCCGCGATCAATGAAGTCTAAAACTGCAGCAATAAAAACGGAAAATAAGAGGCTCATTCGGCATGCAGATACCCTTGGTCTCCACTCGTATTTTCTAGGAAGCATCATGGATGGTTGGGGGGGGGGACACGGCCAGAGACACATACCTTCGCCGTGCAACAGGGAGGGGTCAAGCAGCTCCATCATGTACTGGATCTCCAGGTCCAGTTGGGGCATGTCGCACTGGGCCAGGACGTAGGTCAGCATGGGCAGGAAGTCGTCGGCACCGAACTTCCTCCCTGACAGGAGATGGGTTCTCTGCATTAGGGCCGCTGCGTTACTCTCTCACTCGCACAACCACACCATCCCTCCCAAACACACATACACACACAGTTCATATATCATCATTGAGGGGACTTTCCATTCATTTCTGTGGGGACCGAAAAAAATGTCCCCACGATGTGAAAATAACAGGGGGACTTTAGTCCATACAATCTGATAATTAATATGACCACACACACACACACACACACACACACACACACAAATAAAACTGCTGCTGAGCTTATTCCACCTACACTCCCCAACATCTCACCCGAGTTGTCCTCCATGATGGTGTAGATGAGCTTGCACACTCGCAGCAGCAATGCCACCTTCTTCTCAGGTGAGTACATCTTGCGCATGTTGTGGAACTTGTGGCGGATCTTCTCGACGGCCACCGGGTCGGGGGGGTAGGTGCAGTCCACGCCCAGCTCCTGAGGCTGCTTGGCCTTGGCCAGCGCCAGGTTCTCCCGCAGCTGCTGCCAGGCGCCGCTGGTCACCTGGAAGTCCATCAGGGCCGTCTCCACCACGCTCCTCAGCGGCTTCAGCACGCACTTGTGCATGGCCTTCTCCAGCACCTGGTCTGGGGGAGCAACGGGCAAAAGCGCAGGGTGAGCAGGCAGTGACTGCACATATGCTATTACACAACAGCCATTTTTCCACTGCATTTACTATAGCGCTATACTGTTCACACCATGTTGTAATTCTATTTAAATTGATCATGTTTACATTTAATTTTATTACTGATTTTTCTTTACATATCTATTGTCCATTTTCAGTTGTGTTGTCCTTTGTCCTCTCACTAGATTAATGAAGTTCTATCTTTCGTTAATCTTTATCTTAATCTTCAGGCACCTGACCGACATTTGCACGGATCGGTGATTTTTCTTCAAAAAGCTCTACTGCATAGCGCACCTCTGCCTCCCTGTTCCTGTCTAATCCGACATCCTGCAAGAAAATCTCTCTTTTACTCAACATGAAAAATCTTGTGGCTTAATCAGGCTGTGACGGGACAGGCCCAGTGCTGGCTTTATGTAACTGTGAAATGCTGCAGTGATGCCTGGAGGGGGGGGGGGGGGCTTAGTAGCAGAAATGTTACCACTATGGCTGCATGATCCTTCGTTTCAGCGTCATGATCACCATGCACACATGCGCAATAATCCAATCGCAGGACAGGCTATGTCGGATAAGGCAAATTAAATCAAACATGACATGCTACAACCTTTTTGTTGCTTAATACATGTTTGTGTATATGTTTGTATATATATTTATACAGCCACGGAAAAAATTAAGAGACCACTCTATATATATAAAAAAATCTGCATTTTTAACTCTTAATTTAATCAAAATTCTGCTGGCAGAAGGCTATGCTGAGCAGGTTGCTTTCAGGTTTTCAAAAAATTTTCAAAATTTCTAAGACAGCAGTACACAACAATAAGGGGAAGCAGGAAACACTAAGAATTGGGAGTGACCAGAAACCAGCCTGGAAAAGGGTGGAAGCAACATTCTAATGCCAGAGATCGCCGTTAACTTATCCAACAGTTTCTCATGAATCGTTAGATGACATCAAGTGACCTTCTAAAGGAATTTGTGAAGTGCACTGCTAGGACAGTTCATATCAGGCTCCTAGAAGCAGGACTGAAGTCCCATAAAGCAAGGAAGAAGCCCTTCATTTAGGAGAAACAGAGAATAACTAGGCTGCAGCTTTCAATAAAAAAAATATATTATTCACAGACACACACCCATAACTTGAGAAATGAGTGAAACAAAAAATTGTGCTGTGGTTTCAATTTTTTCCGCGGTTGTATATGCGTGTCTGAAATGTTTAAGACGACAGCCATGAAAGGGGGAGAACATATGGGCAGGAAATGTGAAGTTATTTTGACGCAAGACTGATACTTCTTCCTACGGAAGGTGGAGGATGCACTTCCTCATTTTATTTTTAACGTGTCAGTGTTGTACACTGAGGGCACTGGCCGTTCCCGGCCGGCTGGTCATTATAGCTAATGAGGTCAGTCTGATTTCACTCACTACTCACACAAAAAACAGAATGAACTCTTTGGCCCTTGAAGAGTCTGACCTTGTATTTCGGACAGTGAGTAACTCATTAATAACCCTGTTCACATCCCCAGCAGCTCAGTGAAAAGTTTGTAAGTTCAAACCTTTTGATAATCTTATTACTTTAACTCCAATTGTTTATACCCAAGTTAACTGTTAATTACGTGGCACACAGCCTCTGCACCCCTGCTGTACTCCCTCGGCAGTGACCTTCACTACCAATATAAGTCCTGCAGTTAAACTTTGCTGCCAGGTTAAACATTTTCCATTCAAACACTGTTTTTGGTTTGACTACACTGGGTGACTACAGATGACACAAAGACCTATTAAGAGATGTGGGGGCCCTTTGATAGGACCCTGACACTGCACAGCGAGGGGGGGGGGGGGAGGTGGCTGTGTGGGCACCCCTCAAAACAAACACACCATGGTGCAGATACCATTGCACAGAATGCATTGTGCATTTGGCCTCTACATTCACGTCTCCCTACATTGTAATACATTACAGTACATGATCCATTAAAAATGCATAATTAAACCACGCTCTAAATAGCTGAATGTGCTGTAATGAAACCGCAATGAGGAAAGGCAGCCCGACTTCATCTTAGCCATTGCCATGGAAGGTGTTTGACCTCATGACCTCATGACGAGGCAGACCTGCACCTGGATCAGTTTTAACATCCGCCTCTCAAAGACGCCTCAACCTGCAGAAAGGAGCCGTCCGGGCAGAAGTGGCCCCACAACTGGTAGGGGCCCCATCCGGCACTGACGCCTTTAATTATAGCCCCTCTGCCATCTGAGACCCATTATTAATAATCAGTCCTGTCTCCCCCCCCCCGCGTCAGCCAGTCACATGCCACCTCTGCTGCCATCAGCAGTCCTTCCTCACACCACCCGACAGCGGACGCCTAGTCAGACCAGTCACACTTCCACACTGCTCACGTGCACACTCGCGCACGCACACACACACACACACACGTGCACGCACACACACACACACTCGCACGGACACACACACACACGCACACACACACACGCAC